GGGGGTTGATTCAGGATGATTTCTTGACGCCTCCTGAGTCTGGCTTTAATCCTCCGGCTTCCCCTGGAAACTGCAGACACATGAGCCTGAGCATAGGTTGATCAGGCCTTTGTTAACCCTAAATAAACTTGGAAAAAACAAAAAAAAAAACCCAAACAGTTCCTACACCAGCACGCTGCTCAGAATCGATACAAGAGGTAGCCCTTAATGTTTATTTTTAAACGCATTTAAAATGCAAAAATCCCGTTGACCGACAGAAAACTCTGACCCCTTCCCCGAGCACTGGGTGCTGGCTGAGACGAGCCGCCGTGCCAGCAGCGGAGGCTGTCCCGAGGAGCAGGCTCAGAGCAGCCCCGGTCCCCTTGTTTTTTGGGGGGAGCAGCCCCCCTCCTGCCACGCTCCATCCCAGATGTGCCACCCCGTCACCTTCAGCCCCCTGCAGAACAGCCGGTGGGTCAGCGCTGGGGCCTTGCTTTTCTGCAGAAACCGGGTTACAGTTCCCAGTTTGTGTCAGTATGTAATGTAATTTTTTTTTTTGGATAATGAATGGGGTTATAGCGCGATTTCGTAAAATAACGTGACGCAAATGCTAAGTTTGTATTTATCAGTAGCTCACCTGGCAACGTGAATCAACAGTCAGATGTGAGATAATATGTTGATGTTTTCAGAAAGATTCTATTTTTAAAACTTAAAGAAAAACACTGACCTAAAAAAAAAAAAATTATTTGGGGGAGTCATTCTTTGCCATCAGTCCTAGAAGTGAAGATCTTAAAGCAGGAAGGAACCACTCAGCTTGTGGGCTGCCTGCTTGGGTTGTACGTTTTCCCTCCCTGCTTGACTACAGCGTCTCTTTTAGAAAAACATAAAATGCCATTTTAAATTCCTTGAGCGCTAGCGTAAAATCATGATTTTCGAGAACCTCTGACAGTCTTGTCTCAGCGAAGTAACGGGCAAGGGCTATGGAAGGTATCCATAGGAGCTGTTTACAGTGTCGGCGGGGCAGGGTGCCCGCCGGGAGTGTCAGACAGACTTTTTCCCTGGCTGGGGCTGGCAGGCTTGCTGGGAGCGCAGCAGATGGGTGGTGTGGCCTCTTGGCCGAATGGGCATTTCCAGGCTTGGGGGAGCCCTGAGTCACTGCCCGTCCCGCTGCCTGTGAGCCATCAGAGAGCTGGGCACTGAGCTGCTGGAAGCAGCCCCTTGCTCCTCTGAAGTATCTTGAGACTAAAAAATACAAAATATGCGACGACCACTTAGGGAGTGTTGTTGGAAGCCAGTTTGTAAACTTAATTCCGTAGCATTCAATCTTCCCATGAGTGTCTTGAGGGTTTTTTATAGTCAGAAACACTGAATATAAGGAGATTTGGGGGGTTTCACTCAATGGGGATGATTTGGTAGGATTTACTATACAGGAGCTCGTAATTGTCTATATAAAACCTTGCACCAGTTCATTTTTTTGAACCAAACATTTTTTAAAACAAACAAATTGAATATGGGGTAAAGTGAGTATTATTTTTGATGTTAACTTGTTGTCCAAAACACTCTCGAGGTTTTTAAAAAATCTTCATTAAATGATGCTCTAGAAAAGTTAACAGTGTGCATATATTGCCCGTGGGATTTCTTGTAGATCTAAACATCTGCTTTGTGCTTTTAAGGAACAGATAGCCCCTTAAGGAGGCTCCAAGCTAGAGATGTCTGACGTGCACAAGAAGGGTCTGTGCGAGTCAGTCGGAACAAAGCAGAAGAAAAAACATCTGCTACTTATTTTCCTTAAACACGTGCTCCTATTCAGCTAGTACGTGTGTATTTAATGCCGGCTTACTACTGCATTTCATTAAACTTGAATGCTGAGGAACAGGTTGTGGGGGTGAAAAACTCCTCACCGGCAGCAGAACGTTTAGCTTGCAGAGGCTGTGTTTGGAGACCGTGTGCCAAAACTTCTAGCTTGAAGGAAGCTTTCTGGCTTCCTGTTGAATTATACCCACGTGAGGTAATAACTTCCATTTTCATGTATGTGATTTTGCTTTCTCTTGGCAGATGTGTGGCATTTACCTCAAATATTAAAAACTAAGAGAAGTGAAATTGCAAAATTGGAATGTAAATATCAGAGGAAGAAGACCACAGTATGTTGTTAGGAATATTTCTTTATGGCTGTACCGTTTCTTGGCATTTTTTTTACAGCATTAAATGTTAACGCTGCAGTCTCTGTATTGTGGGATATATCCCCAAGACTATGGATCTTGTGGAAACTCATAATTGACTCCATGCTCTGGTTTGAAATACAGTGCCTTTATGCTCATGGTTCATTTTTCACAACTTCCAGGAGTATGGTTTGAACCTGAAATGCTCAAAGACTGATCTAACTTTGAATGCTTACTTAGGTTGGTTCTCATTTAGTTCGTGTTCCCTCTGAGGAAGGCAGCAAAACATCGGGAAAAGCCGATGGCGTGGCTTGCAAATGGCACTTGTGCCATTGTTTCAGCTTCTTGCAGTGTCCCAGCCAAATGCTGCTGTTGTTTAATAGAATGATACTTCGCTTATTTAATCAGAATTATTATAGTTCATACTAGTAACATAAAAATACAGGCCTCTGTTGGAAATGACAGCTGTCTGTAATTATTGGAGAAATATATGTAGTAATTTCTGATCTATTTGTGGAAATGTGAAATGGGTTATCATGTTCCCACAGGGCTGAAGAGAAGGGTTTGTTAACATGAAAGCTGTTTGAATGATTATTCCCAGGTAATGAAATAAAAGCTCTGAGAAACTTAGACGCAGTTCAGAATATAAAAGGCAGGGGAGAAAATACTCCCTTAGACCAACCAACATGTAGTTTCCAAGTGGAATTTCTTTACTGGCTGCGATGCGTCACTGTGGGGGCACAGTGTAAACACCTGTTGGTTATCAGAAGGTAAACCTCCTTTAACAGAAGACTCTAGTTCGTAGTAGGAACGCCTGCTTTTGGGAACTGAGCCCAGCAACTTGCACAATACTGCCTTATGTATCTTTTCTGTACACATGCTGTGGTGCTTTTAATGAGAAAATAAACATCAAACTCATTCCACCACAGCTGTTGAATATAGATTTTTTTTCCAGAGATTTGTGTCAGAGTTTAAAAAAAAAACCAAACAACTTTGGTCTTGGACTGGTGACAGACTTGCAACGCTTTTCTTTTAGATGAGGACCTTGCTTATGAGGTTAAAGTCACTCTCTCTGCAGCCCTGAGAGTAGCAAAGTGGAGCACCTCCAGAGGAGGGATTAAGTCTCTCACATGTCTTCTTAACCCAGTAGCAATTATGTGGGAAGTTTAGGCCACGCTTGGGAGAGCTGGGCAGTAGAGCTGAATTCCCCCAGGTGAAGAACAGAGTGGCTGTCCTGCCCATCCCAGGTGAATGTGGTTTTGTCTCTATTTCATGGGGGGTCCACAGTTTCACCTTTTTCCTCAGAAAATATTCTGCAGCTGTTTCTCCACAGGGTTTGCTGGAGTTGGTTCCAGCTGGGGCAGAGGGTCTGGGCTGCGAATGCCAAGTAAAGGCTGAGGGAGCAGCTGGAACCCTGCTGGAGTGGAGGGCTGAGCCATGGCTTTCTGCGTTTCCCTCTCAGGCAGTTTGCAGCTAAGTACTATCCCATGTGGTGTCCCTTTCTGGGGTGCTTACAGGATTAATGGAGAGGCAGGGTCTCTAGTTCCTAGCAATTTGATTTTAATTTTTATTTAAATGAAAGTCTGGCTTTGGATCTGAGTAAAATTCAGAATTTTGACAGTATAACTACTAGAAAGTTTCCATTCTTTGATGCTGGTCAGTGAAATCATGTATAAATATGATGTTGCACCCTGGAAGGTTTTTGTAACTTAATTCTTCTCAGTTTACAAATAAAATCCAAAGTTGTTTTGCTTTTTAAGATTTTATTTAACACGTGCATTAGCAGCACATGTTGAGAACTGGAAACTGCGTTGAAATGTGAGGTTTTTGCACTCTGGAAAAGTCTACAGAAACAAGATAACAGTAATAAAATGAAAGGGTCCTTTAACATCTGTGTACAAATGATTAATAATTACTGTGACACAAGAAAAAATAGGATAAGGGCGCTGCTGAAAATGTGCTTTTAAAATTAGGCTGAGAACTGTTGGTGAATTTTGTAAAAAAAAAAAAAAAAAAAAAAAAAAACCAAACCAAAACAACAAACCACCATCACAAAACACAGAAAACCTGATACCATTGTCTTCATATTTAATATCTATAAACTGAGTTGTATATACTCATGGAGAAGTACAGTCACCTAACATAAACATGTAATTAAGAAGGCATAGGTAATGTAAAAATGTGGCGAGAGTTGCTGTGTCAGATGTTAAGTGGTAAGATAATAATGCAGTGAACTTTTCCACTATTTTTTTATTGTTACCTGGGGGTTGAACTGAAGAGCAGTAATCTTACCTAGCAGTAATTTCATTATATTTGGTAGTAGCTTTTTACCTGCTCATGTGTATAAATGCACGGAGGGGAAGGAAGATTTGGTGCTGTACTGCAAGGGGTTGTTCTTGCAACTACAACATCGCTATGGAAGGATTTTGAGGTGTTGGCTATCTGCAGAAAGCTGAATTATTGTGTGTGGGAGGAGTTGGTTCTAGGTTGGGACTTGGTTACTTGGATTATACTAGAGATGTGTGTTTTTCTTTGGAGGGCCTCCTGCAAGAACCTGTAGCTGTAAAACCGATGGTGTTGGTTGCTTTACTCTGATGCATCCCAAGACAAGGTGTGCTAGCAGGCTGGCTGGCTGCTGCTGATAAAAAGGTACAGAGTAAAGCAGGGTGCCCGAACCAGTGCTGGAAATGGCTTGTGCAATCGTGCTGACAGGCTTTGTAAGCACTAATTACCTCTCTTAACGTAACATAATACAATTCTTGACTTGCCTACCTGGGTAGGCGAAGGGATGTAAGGTGAAAATCTGTGTGTACGTGTAGTTTCCCAGAACAGCTGAGAGAACACCTGAGCTCATACCTGCAATAATACTCCTATTGCAGTAATCCAGTAAAGGCTTCTCAGACTGTTTCTGTGCACTCAGAATACATCCAGGTGTAAGTCTGGATTGTTTGATTCACACCCATGGAGGCAGTTAGCATGTATTCTCACACATTTTAGGCCTGCCTTCAGTCTCTTTAGCCCCTGTTTTCATCATGAGTTTCTGCTTTAGTTGTAACTGGTGCCCAAGAGATGAGGAGACAGATTGTTTTCGGTCTTGTTTATATAATTGTAATCTGGAATTTTCAACAGATCCTACAGGTTATGTGATTCACTGCTCCTTTTTTTTTTTTTTTTTTTTTTTTGCATTTTTAGTATAGTAGTCTGTTACAGATCTGACCCTTGAGAATAGACAAAGATTTGATGTTACTTGTGTTGCAAGAATTCATTCTAGGCTACCGTTTTACTGGTTTTTAATTTTTTTCCCAGTGCACGTGGATCATTCATTTGCACATAGCAGTACAATATAAGCACCTCAGTATTTTATCTTACTGTTTTTTCTGGGCCTTTCGGTACAGTCAGAGCCATTCTCCACTGGTTCTCAGTGAGGACCAGCACTTGGAGTTCTAAATGCTCTTTTTTAAGAAGTGAGAATATCTTTGGGTGAAGAAATTATTGGGTCTTATGACTGGGAGTCCCAAGTGATCCCGTTGTCTTCCTTAGCAGGCTCCCAAGGGTAAATGTGAAATCTGAGGCCTTTGGCAAGATGGCAAGAACCCCATCAAGCCCTGTGGGTAGGGCTCATGATGCAGATGGCTGGCCTTTAATTTTCTGCACTAGCCTTAAATTAGAACGGGCCCTGTGGTTTGTTATTCAAAAGGGTTTTCTTAACTATCAGGTAGGAAATCAGAGAGCCTATGCTTGCACAGTTTATAGTGTGCTAGAAATATACCATGCGAACGAGTAATGACCTGCAGACTTGGTTTTGGGGCTGTTGGCAAGTTGGATGCCTTTGTGTACTTCAGTCCTGTTAATTCACTGGTGCTTGCTGAAAAAGCTCTTTAAGTCATGGGACCCATGGTCCATTGCCCTGCTCATTTTCTGGATTGATAGGAAGTGTTTCTCTCTGGGGCCAGTGTATAACTTTCAGTTAGTCCATTGTCTTTAAAGTAATTTGGACAGAAAATGTTAGGTCTTGCAAACTCATACTTAAGAAAAAAAACAAACAAACATGGGATTTGTTTATAAAAAGTCTTTTTGTACTGGTGTATTTTTATGTTAATATGAGAAAATGAAGTACTTAGACTAGCAAAATTCCCAGTGACACATTTCATTGGAAGTATAACCAAAATAGTATTGAACTAGAGTGGAGCATGAGAACGAGAAGGAATAAAAGCTTGTGGATGAAGTTAACCATCTGAAATTAAATGTCTGGGTAGCATGAAACTGAGGAATGCTGCCAGGGGATTGTAAATTCGACGTGTAGAGTTTTTGTGTATTGCTTCTTACGTTCTTAATGAAAGTACAAGTTATATGTGTTCCTAGTTTATGCTAAACCTCTTCCCACCATTTTTTTCACTATTTCCCCATCATTAGTTCCCTGTTCAGGTTTCACTTCTCTCTCCCAGTCTCTGTAGATCGCCCCTACAAGGATGGGAATGTAGTGCAAATCCATCTATTCCCCCTTACTTACATGTGCCTAAAAGCTACACAGTTTAAAGATACCTGACCTTATCCAGCTGTCACTGGTCTGGGCTTTCTTTCTTTTAATTGCATTTAAACCTATTAATCAGTTTACATGTGTCATTCTGCAAAATTATGATACCTGGAAGGTGTAAGTGCTAGCTTCAGTGCTCATAGAACGCTTTAAGTCTCATCTGTGCTGGTACATACAATATGGTAAAGGTTATTGCCTGAACCTCATTAAAATGCCATTCAAGTTCTCGGTCACAACACTATGCTTGTGGTTTTTTGCTAAAAACAGATTTACACAACTCTTTCCTCCCCCCCTGTTTTTAGCCTAGTGCCTTTTAATCAAAAGGGGAGGTTTTATGGTTCTTTAAAAGGAAGGCAGCTGAGGGTAAACCTCAATTTCTGATTTAAAATACCTATTTACTATACTGGAAATTAGAACTGAGGACTTCATGTCTTTTCCAAATGCTAAATGAGATTTTCTTATTGTTAGGACAGACTTGTCTTCCATACATTTATGCCAATCTAAATTAGTTATTTTTTTCTTTTACTTCGGAGGTGTTGATAAATACTTGTTCTCTGGATTTGCTTGTTTAGTAATAAAACACATAGCTGAAAATGAATATATCCATGAAGCAGCCTATACTTGAATGCAGTTGGTTTTTTTAGGGAATCATAAAATTCTGTTAAAATGTTCCCAATCATTTTTCTTGAATTTACTGAGAATTTAATGGTTTTATTGTTAAGAAATAGGTTAAAATTTTTAGGAGCAGCCCTGATGATGCATGAACCATCTCTTCAAACATAATCTTGAGATAGAGTCTTTGCCTCAGCAGTGCAGTTACTACTCTTCCAACGATGCCAGCTGAAGTAGTAACACGTACTTTACTTATTTGGGAGCCAGTAAGAACTAGGTGGGTCCTCAGTTCCCTTAGTCATGCAGCTCTGGGAGAATGTGGTCAATATACACATAAATTCAGTGAAGTCATTTTAAAGCTATTTTTGTCTTAGATATGGAAACACTTAAAATAGTCATTATGAAGCTTACTTATTCTGGAGAAATCTTTGTTTGGTACGTATTTTTGTTAGTGACTCGGTGCTGATTCAGACTCCTTGTCAGAGATGGAAATCAGTCAGAGTAGATCCCACTACAGCAGTAATCCCATGGTGATCTTTTGGATCAAAGGACACACTGCCGTAAATAGCACATTGATTTAGTGATAAATAATCGTGTCTTAAATTGATTTTTCTGTCAGACAGGCCGGGTTATTGAATAATATCAGGACTTTATTAAGATGGTAACTTGAAGACATCTAAGAAAAAAATTTTCTTTCATTGGTTGGTAAAGATTAATACTAGGAATTTTCTTTGTAGTATAAATTAGCTATGCCATAACCACTGCAATGTAAGTTTTGGGATGTTTTTTTTTGTTTGGTTGGTTGGTTGGTTTTGTTTTACCTGGACTGTCAAAGTTTTCCTGTGGGATATGTATGTGTATAAACATGCTGAAGGTGTCACATACATGCAGAACAGTATGACAGGTCTGAGAGCTCTTTTTACCTGCTTGGTTTTGTTGACTGAAATGGATGCTGCTACTGTGTCTAAGAAAATCGTGGAAATAAATGGAAAAGCAGTATTTTGGAAACAATACTGAAAGCAATAGCAGGACCAGTAGTAATACTGTCTTACTGCAGTTTAACAGTAAAGTTTATCAACAACTGCCTGAGAATCCTGGCTCTGACTTTGCCTTGGGAATAGCTCTGTCAGAGGTCCTAAGTGTGCAAGCGCAGATGATTTCATGGTTTTAGTGGCAAAATTGAAATTATGATCTCTAAAAATGTCTGTTCAGTTGCCACTTGGCTTTAGAAGCATCTATTAACGTTTTTATTGGTAGAAATATGTCTACCAAGAGCTCTACTTGGTGCAGATGAATCAGGGTGTTAGAAGTTGAAAGAAAGGAAAACTTAAATGCCGCCTTTTGCTCTGTTTTCTGATGCAGAGTTGCTCTGAGCTGTGCCAGACTGCAGCATCTACACGCCAGCTGCTCTGTGCCCAGCTGTACCTGAGTGCAGCATCATGGGCCAAGCTGCTTCCTTCCCATCTGCCAGCATACCCCAGTTTACTGGGGATGCTGAAGTGACAGATCATCATCTTCCAGGGAAATTGCTGGTTAGGTACAGTTAAAGAGCTGGAGCATCCCTGACTCTGCCTGTGCTAGTAATTAAAAAAAGCTGAGGATTTTTTCACTGGCCTTCGAGGACGAGTAGCACAGCCTGGCCACATCCATATCACGACACTCCCTCCTTGCACAAGTCGGGCAGACTTCTCCGTGCTGTTTTGAAGACCAGAACCTGACCTGTGGTGTCCTCTGGAGTGTGTTCCAGCTCTGTCTGGGAAAGTGCTAGAAGCCAAAAACTCTTCCACAAAGTGCACTAAAAATTACACTGAGTGAGAAGTCCAGTGGTTGGGCCTGTGTCCTGGACCTTTTATTTGCCCAGTTGAGGCACAGCTGTTGTGACCAGGACATGGGCTGTGGCAGGTTGTGCTTCTCCCAGAGAACATGCAGCTCATGTTTTGGTGCAGAGGGATACATCACTAGTCCTGTGGTGTCATTGAGCCGTGCTGCTTAGCTCGTACCAGCTATCAGAAGCTGGTAGGGGCCTACTGGAGGCCGCGACTTAAAATGGCTTCGTTAGTTTTTTGCTAAAGCCTTGAATACCTTGTGTTTTAGGAGATTTTGTAACTGAAATTAAAGATAACTTGTCAAAATAAACAATTTATGTTGTGCTGGTTGTTTTCTTGCAGGTGACCTTAATTTTTAATTGTATAAAGTCTGTATTACCATTGTAGTCATTGCAGAGAATTGGTAGGTAGGTCGTGCATGTGGTCTCCAATCCGTTTATCTGATTTTGAATGGCTGGCGTGCTGATTCTCTAAATCACAGACATTAGTGTCTTGGAAAAATTGTGAGCGTGTTAGTGTCAAGAGTGCTAAGGGGTTTTGTCTTTTGTCAAGGAATGAATAGGAAGATTTTGTAGGACAACTTTTTGATTGCTGAAATATTAATCATATTAAAGCACTTCTTTTAACCGATGGGTCCAGAGGGGGAATTAAATTCTTTTTATCTTTTTCTAAATCATCATGTAGATGATAGCCATGTAGAAAAAGCGATTGCGGCACTGTGAATAAAGTTAAAACTGTTGTACGATGACTACTCGTCTCATTACACAAGAAGACATTTTTAGTGTTTGTTACAGAAATCATAATATTGCACTAATACATGTACCTTTTTCTGTGGGGTAAACTACCTATATTTTAAGAGACAAAATCAGTCTTGATTATATTCTCCAGTCTCCTGTTCTAAATGCTGTTTCTGAGAGCTGTTTTGGATTACTGTTGATCTGATCATCCGAGTATGTAATTGCAATGGTCTGTAATTCTTAGGGGTGGCATACCGAAAGTTTTTATGAGTAGGTTGCCCAGCGGTAGGGTGTAGTTTGAGACAGCATATGTTAATACTGCAAAATTATAGGCCATGTGAATTTTTACTATGTCCAGTAATGTGTAAACTCCCAAGACACCCGTATTTAAGGAGTTACATAAATAGATGTCTGCAGAACTGTTAAGGCCATTGGAGATGACAGTTACATTGAGAAAGAGGCGTTTCTTTCAGCTAGGATATGTGCATGCCCATGAAAGGCCAATGATTTGAATAAGTAGTAAAATTATTTATGTCTGCAACAGTTTTAATGAATTCATAGAATGATTTGGGTTGGAAGGGATCTTAGATTGTCTTGTTCCAACCCCCTGCCCTGGTCAGGGCCACCTTCTTCCAGCCCAGGTTGCCCAAAGACCCGTCCAACCTGGCCTTGAACCCTTCCAGGGAGGGGGCAGCCACAGCTTCTGTGCCAGTGTCTCACCATGCTCACAGTAAGGAATTTCTTCCTTAATCTAAATTTGCCCTCATTCAGTTTAACACTGTTACCCCCCATCCTATCCCTACACTCCCTGATCAAGAGTCCCTCCCCAGCTTTCCTGTAGCCCCTTTAAGTCCTGGAAGGTCGCTATAAGCTCTCCTCAGAGCCTTCTCTTCTCTGGGCTGAACCCCCCCAACTCTCTCAGCCTGTCCTCACAGGCGGGTGCTCCAGCCCCCTGAGCATCTCTGTGGCCTCCTCTGCACCCGCTCGAGCAGGTCCGTGTCCTTCTTACTCTGGGGTCCCAGCGCTGGACACAGCACTTCGAGGGGGGTCTGACAAGAGTGGAGTGGAGGCAGAAAATCCCCTCCCTCGCCCTGCTGGCCACACTGCTCTGAATGCAGCCCAGGACACAGTTGGCTTTCGGGGCTGTGAGCGCACATTGCTGGCTTATAGTCAATTTTCCACCCACCAGTACCCCCAGGTCCTTCTCCTCAGGGCTGGTCTCAATCCACTCCTCACTCAACCTGTGTTTGTGCTTGGGATTGCCCCGACCCATGGGCAGGACCTTGCACTTGGCCTTGTTGAACTCCGTGAGGTTCACACGGTCCCACCTCTCCAGCCCGTCCAGGTCCCTCTGGATGGCACATCCCTCCAGCCTGTCGACTGCACCACACAGCTTGGTGTCATTGTAATAGTCATAGCATTGTTCTGAAGTTAATTTTTAATTAAAAAATTGCAAGAAGTGACTGCACTTTGTAAAAAACAAAACCAAAAACAAACAAAAAAAACCCCCAAAACCCCAAAAAGCCACTTAGGTTTAGTAGATGTCCTTCTTGTTGTTGTTGTGTAGGCATTTCTAGATCTGTTTACATACAATAGCATGTCTAGTGTTGAACAAGGTCATTCCCTTAAATATGATGGTTTCATCAGAATATTATGGTTTTTATCTTTAGATAGGAAATTGTAATTTCTTGAAGAATTTTGGAGGTGTTTTCTTGGCTAGCAGAAAACTATTATTGTCCTCCCTGCTGCTGATACAGGGAAGTGGCATCCTGGTTTGTGTTGCTAAATAAGATACCTGGACAAAAAGGTGAATGTTGGTCTTTTAAGAGGAACCTGCTCTGTGCTGTCTGGGTTAGAGTCTCTGGTTTCCAGGGCTTATTCTTTTGTGGGATACAGTGGCTGTGTTGTAAATGACAGAGGGGCGTTATTAAATGGTTTCATGTTAAAAGTGGATTTTACTTCTGCTTCTTACTGAAGTGTTTTTTCCTTTTAAAGATGACATTGCGGTTCTCACCAAGTTCAAGCCAATGCGGTCAGAAGGTATTGTACTAACCAGTGTTACGCCTTCCTCCCGTTTGTCTGTGTCCTTTCTCCATTTTTTTTTTCTGCCGGGGGCCTCTTGGAAACCAGACTTAAATTTATATGAGTCATTGATATCGCATATGAGCCAGGCTTTTTGCAATGTGATTTGCAAGTCGGTTCTTGGCTATCTGTGGGCAGCTCTCTGGGCTAAGAGCTATTTGGGCATCTCCATTCCTGGTGCTTGTTGCAGTTCTGGCTTGTGGCTCCTTTACACCTTCCTCCATGACTTGGACCTGCATTTCTTGTACTGCTCCTGCTCAGGAGCTTGTTTATGTGTTTTTTTCAAGGAGTGAATGTATTAAGTATGTTGTACTTCTCAGTGAATATATGTTTTGCATTGTCTTTTTGCCTTCTTATGTGCTGCTCTAGCGTTACTCAGTTTTATTCTCCTGGATCAGAGATACCAAGAGGATTTCCTACCACCAGTTGCATAAGTAATCAGCTGTGGTACTTGCAGAGCATTTAAAATGTAGAACCCTGAATTGTGCTTGTTCCTGAGGTTAAACTTTCACAAGTACAGGAAGGGTAATCCAGAAAAAACAAACACCAGAGCTGCTGTTGTATGCTGTGGAATCACTTCAAGTCCTCTCGGCAGCATAGGCAAATTGAACGTTACTACTTGTTACTGCTCCAGGGACAAGCTTCTTCCTGCCGTGGAGGGTTTGTGTGATGAAACGTTTGGGCTTTCTGCTTCTGGGCCCTGGGCTCGCTACCTTCAGGCAGAGCTTCAGCGACCTGCTTCCCAGGGCTGTGGGCAGGGCAGGCAGCCGAGCGCGGCTTCATGGTCTGCTGTCCTGAGCAGGGGCTGAGTTTGCTTAAGCCTAAAGCCAGCCTGTATGAAGGTAAAGCCTCTCCTTAGGAATATTCTTGCAGATACAGTTTCTCACATAAATTAATCAGAGTATTTTGATAAATTGTTGGGCTTTGAGTCAAAACTTCTGTGTTCTTATTACGATATTCTCCCATTACGTGCTATTTGTTGAATGTTGAACGCTTGTGCTGTGTTGGGAGGTGAACTGAAATCAGTTTTGGGCTGAAGCTGTTCCTACAAACCTTTTCTGTGTTTGGTGTTCTGTCTTACAGCCTAGTCCCTGGAGCAATCACCTTATATTTGGGTAGGAAGAATGATCCCAAATTATCTACTCTCACAGTAACTTTTAGGAGATGACAACACTGGTCTCCGTGCTTGTATCAGCATATGAAAACACCTTTCCACAAGTGCATAAGTAAAACTTAAGTGTTCAGATTGTATCTACTAATAGAGGTTTTGCAGGCATAATTTGCTTTAGCAGAATAGCATATGACAGCTTTAAATATCTTAGCATTCAGAAACGTATTCATTATATGTTACATACCATTATATACCATTGCCCAGTTTGTCATCGCATGTGCAGTTATAAATTACAGAAACTGTTTTCTGTAAGTGAACTTTGCCAAAGGAAAAAATTACAGGAAACAAAATGCTCTCAAGCTGTACTTAAGTAGCTTATTATAGGTTTTCAGAGAACTAGTTTATATATCTGCCTGGATGTAATTTTGTAAAAAAAAAAAAAAAAAAAGTTGGTTTTATTGGTAGGAATAATCTAACTGTAGTTTCCTTGACAGTGGACCACTCTGAGATGTGCTAGTCAGTCTGTGCTATACCCAGCAATACTTCCTTCATGGAGCAAGGAGTAGATGAATCAATTTTTTTTGGATGAAAGAGGCACCATTATTAGATGCCTGCTCTAGATTGTGATGAGCTGTTTTCAAAACCGCTTATGCTTTTCCGTTAGTGGTGGAGTTACTTAGATGCCTCATTTAGGGGACTGCTCTGTCTGCTGAATCAGCAGAGATGGTTGATTACAAAAACTTCTTGGAGCAGGAGTCTGCTTATGGGCTCTGAATTCCTCTCCAGAGGAAACTGCTGAGAGAGTAGGTTCAGAGCCACAAACCCAGCTGACATCTCAGTATGATTTAGGGATCTGAAGGTACTCAAGGTGTTTTTTCCCTGTAATGTTAACATCTAAGTAACAGTGTCCTTGGTGAACTGACTATATTTGCAGGAAAGTCATGTTAGAGTACTGTTGTTAAAATAAAGGGGATTTTGTTTGTTTGTTTTTTTAAAACAAGAAGCATCTTGGTAATTTCAGTTGATACTATTATTCATGATCCTGTTGTCCTATGTCCATTATGTGGGCATCTGTAATCCTGAGGTTGCACACTATTAATCCCTTAGCAACAAAAGACCTAATTCAATTTATAGCAAGCAATCCCAGAGATAATTGAATTTTCATAACTGAAGCAGCAAAGCTCTGGGTGTGAGACCTTTATAGACAGTAACCTAACAGACATTTGAGACAAGAAAGATAAGTGATACTGACAGGTTTTTGTTTGCCATAGTTAAAAATATGTTTCTGTGACTGCAAGGTTACAACCAGGTACTACAGACAGAGTATATTGTGTCTCACAGCATTTTTTCCCCTTCAAAGAACGATTATTGAAGATTTTATGTAGCTGAGTGTTATTTTTTGCAGTTATTCCTTTTGCTTGTTCATAGCTCTGTGCCTTCAAGGTTCACATAATTTTCAGATACTGTAATGTTTTAAAATAAAGAATGTATTTATGTGAATCTGTCTTTCTTTCATTGTTCCTTAGGGGAAGAATGCAATGGACCTTTATGTGAAACTACTTCAACTGCAGAGTCAGAAGTCCCAAGCAGCTCTGAGGTAAGGTAGAGTTCTGATGGTCTTAACTTGCATGATAGGAAGAGGAACAGTTGCTGTGGAAGACAGATTTAGTTTTAAAAATTAAATTTCTTTCAGATTGTCTTATACCTCCTTTTTCATCCTTGTAAACATTTTTTTCCTTTTAGTTTTTTGAAGGAGCAAACCCATTTCTGTAACAGTGATAGTGAGTCTTACAAGAGACTTACCAGTGTTAGTGCTACAACACTGTAGTAGTAGAAAACAGCATGGGCTTAACAGTGTTTCCAGTATCAGTCTTGAAATGAGAATCACACGATCATTTAAAGATTTGGCAATTGGAAAAACATAATGCTTCTGCACAAATGCAACACTTTGTTTTATGCTGCGCATTACATTGCTGGCTGGATAGGGAAGTCAAGGCACTCTTGCATTCCTCTGCTCTGGGAACTTTTTGACAGTGCAGCAAGATTTATAAGGAACCAAATGAAGATTTGAGTTATAAGAATATCTCTTTCTTGCAACATGCAATATGAAAAGCATCAGCAGCTATTAATTTTCTCACAGTAGCTCATTGATTAATAAGTACAGTACACAGTATCTTAAGTAGATAGCAGTGTGTGGTTACTATTCAGTTAAGAAACAAATTTAGAAAGAATATTGAAAGTATGCATTGTTGAGATTGGTATTTTATTTTAATTTCTATTGTCCGATTTCTTTATTATGGTTATTGTATGCTTAAAGGAAGATAGAAAGAATTATAGATAGGGAAAGAAATAATTGCTCTGTTGAAGCAGAGTCTCATACTGGCCATGAGTGCTCATCAGAAATGATGTCTATTGAATTGAGTGTTGGAACTGTAGCTGTTCTCCTGAACTTCTTAAGAGTAAAACATTTTCCTCACCTCCTGAGAGGCATATTTGGAGATGGTCATGTGAAGACAGAACTCAGAAATGCTTCCTAGATTACACAGATCTTCATGTTGCTAGTGCATGCAACCATATCATCTATGTGTTTCCATAAACGTACCAGTTCCGTCTTAAAAACTGTTAGTATGTTCACCTTGCTACTGAAGTTCACTAACCAGTGTTAGTATGTTCACCTTGCTTTCTGAATCTGTTGGAGATGTAGTAATCTATTTCTCCAGGAAAATTTTCAGTGAACAGCCATATCAGATACTTTGCTGAACCCTGGGCAGATAGAGTCTCTAATTATACCATATGAATCATCATACCATGATCAGCATCAGAGTCTGAAGATGATTCTAAATTCCTTTTGAGTGTCTCTGAGTAGGTGGAGATGATCCATTTCACCAAAGCTTGAAAGAATTTGCTGAATCACAGAATTGCCTAGGTTGGAAAACACCGTGAAGATCATCCAGTCCAACCATCAATCTAACACTGACAGTTAATTCACTTAGGATGTAGGAAAAGGCAGGAAACGTGGGAGAAAGGGTGTGACACACATGTATTATAGGTGTAGAGACATGGGACTTGAACCGTGTTTGAAGGGTGAATGATGATAGGGTGGGAGAGGAGGTTTTGGTCTTCAGCACTTTCTTGTCTGGGAGGTAGTCTCCTTATGAAAAATATATCTGGTTACTCTCTTAATCTCTCACTGGTCACTTCATGCTGCATTTTCTCTTGTTTTCTACCCATGCATGTTACTTACGTAATTACCTTTCTTCATAGATAGTTCTTAAATATCACAAGATTTTATTAACAATATTAGTCTGTAGTTGGCTTGATGAATTGAGTTTTTTTGTTCTGTTATTTTCCTCTCTTGCTCTAAGAGGAGACGGCTTATTTGGCTTTAGATTGTTTGATTCTCCAGGTCAGATCGTTATCTGATACTTGCTTTAATTTAAATTAGTACTTTTCTGTGCTTTTGTATTATCCTACCCTTGTCCCCTAATAACATTCTTAATTTATCTGATTTTTGCTTTCTATGCATTAGCCAGATGTAAAGTTGCAGAGTTAATCTTCTTGTCCAGTATCACACTCTTACCAGCCAGGACAGGCTTAGTTCTGGATTGATTAATGTCCTAGATACTCAGGTTGTCTATCCTTAAAGTTTTTCCATTAAATTTTCCATTTCCGTTAATTCATTCTGACAGTGAGAGAGCCCTGATTTTTTTTCATAGAGTGCTAATCCTTTATCTTTATGTGTTGTCACAACTTCTCTGTTTTCTTCTCTGTAAACTGGAAGAATTTATCTTCCTTCAGTTCTTTGCTAGGCTGCCTTTTGTTGTCCTTGATGCATTCCCATAGGAACTGAGCAGGGTTGTATATCCCAGCATGAAAAAAAAGCAGTGGTTTCTCCTCTTTTCACCAAGACCCTTCTGAGATCAGGTCAACATACTTCATTCTTGTTTTGTCAGATAGCACGTTTCTCTGGGGTTTTTTTTTATGATTTTACTCCAGTGATAGGTTGGTAATCTTGTTACTTAACCAGATAATTAACTTGGTTGCTGCAGTTGGAAAATATGAACACTTGGAAGTCTTAATATAAGTAAAGTAATTTAAAAACAGAAATGGAATTCATTCATAAAAAAAACATTGCGAAAGTGCTAAATTGCTAAATGAATTTATATTCAGGTCACAATGTCATATGCTCAGGCTGTCTTTTCTTTTGGAAAAGAAGAAACATAACATACAGTAACAGTATCCTGCTCAGCAGTAGGGAGAAAAAGCTAGGACCTTAATGTTGATTTAGCAACAGAGGAGGGACCAAAAGAAATCTAGATTCAAATATGGAGAGCACAAAACATGACCTATCCATAATTGAGCAGTATTTTTTTGTCATCTGTAAAGAAATATATGATTTGGACATAAGGAATGATGCAAGTTAAAGGAAAAAAAAAAAGGAAAAAAAAACAGTCTGTAATGAAGCCTGTTAACGTATATACAAAGTCAGGTGAAATCTGGGCCCCAAAAAAGCAATTGAGTCTCCAGTCAGTGGTGCATTTGCTCCTTCTTCATGATTTTGCATTTTGTGCTGTAATCTGCTGCTACTTGCCTATTTTACCGTGGTTTTTCTTTCTTTCTTTCTTTTCTTTCTTTTTTTATCTGATTGATGTTGAGTCTCCTTGTTTTTCTTCTTTTAATCTCCCACAAGGACAAAAGAAACGAGATCACTTGGTGTTCAAGAGCTTTTCATATTACACGCCTTATAGCAAGAATCATTTCCAGATGCTTTGTCATAGAGGGAGGCGAGGAGATGCTTTCAGCAAACAGCAGACTGGAGAGGGGGAAAAAACCCAAAAGGCTGTGATATATTTTCAGATAGGTGCTGCAATGGGAACTGCTTCAAATTACATAATTGCTAAATCAGTAATTCACAGACAGTCACTTCTTTTAGGGACAGGCAGCTATCCTAATTGAGTCTCTATGTAGAATCTACTTGAATCAATCTTTATGGAGTTCCTGTTCCAAGAAATACATAAATTCCTCTGAAAGTTCTTTCAAGCAAATTGAAGAATGAATGAAATAAAACCTGAGAATCTGTTTCTCCTCTGTGCTTTATATTTGTGCAGAGAGCGTGCTAGAAAAATACATAATGTCTCAATTCTGTTTTGATAGCACAGTGCATTTCTGTTCAGTGATTATAATTAGTTGTTCGAGTTAGAAAGTAAATGAGGATGAGGCCTGCTGACAAAATAGAGTTCCTATTCTTAGAGAGGAAAGGTGATTGGTTAAATAATTTCAGATTGGGAGAAAGGTTAAAAAATAGAGTTTGTATTAATTTCACTGATAGTAAAAAATTTTAGGCCATTCAAGTGGGATAATTGTAAAATCAGTAGAGATTTTGTGGGAGGTAAATGACTAGTTTGTAGTTTAGTGACATATTTAAGAGGTGTATACAGAGGACTGTTTGTCTGTCTGCTATTCCAGTTAAGAAGTATGAAGTAATTTAAAATGTTTGCTTGGTATGTATGTGGGCCCTGAGTTTCTCACCCTCATAAAAGGCAGATGGCTGCACTGCTCTTGTAAGTAAAGCTACAGGGTTGTGCCCTATTCTAGCTGTGAGAAATTACATATGAAATTTTCACCTTTCCTGTTAATTTCACACCAGTGAAATGCTCACTAAAAATTGCTGTTAATCAAGATCTTCCATATTGTAACTTGATTGTGAGAAAATCTGAGAACAAGCTGTCTTTATTTAAACCAGGTTAGCAGAAGTAAATTGGCAGAGCTCCATCAAATGTATTAAAGCAATGCATTTTATGAAAATTAGGGATATGACACATAGATTATTCTTTTTGAGAGCTATAGGAGTTCCAAATGAATTGATTTTTTTTTTCCCCCCCAAAGAAATGCCATTATGATGGACATCACTTCTCATGCTTGTTTATTTTCCAATTCAGACCGGTGGGTTTTCAAATAGATACATAAATACCATTATTAATATTGTGAAGACAGACCAAATCAGTTTCAAAATCTAGAAGGAAATACTTCTTTCAAGTATAACTACAAAACACAATCTGAGGGACGTTTTGGGGTGAGAGTGCTAAAGACTTAGGAAAGCAGATTCCAGAGTACGAAGGACCGGCCCAACACTGCTGCCACCAGTGCCATTCTTGGTTTTCATCTCAGCAAAGTTGGACTATTTGAGCATTTCCGAAAACACTGGTTGGTGCTTGTTTTGGGGGTCGTGTTACTAAGATTGGAGCCCCTTTGTGCTGTACGTTGATTTTGACATATAATGAAAAAGCAGCGTTTCCTCTACATGAGTTCTTATGCTTTAAATGTGCAGGAGATGGTTTGATCACCAGTTTTACAATAGGTAACCCCCATGACTTGAGCTGATTAATTGCAGACTGGTGTATTGAGAACGGGGTAGGTTCTCTAGGTTAACAGGAAAGTCTTTTACAAAATGCATAGGAATTTGCAGAGGACTCCACCAGCTGTGTTTCTCTATCTCACAGTTCAGTGTTTCACGAAATGTATTAAAATGTTATCTTGGAGTGAAGCAGTGTGGCCAGCATATGAGGACCGGTGGGTATTTACATCCAATCATGGAGGAGATGGGAAGCTGTGGGAGGGAGGACTATGGGATGGAGAGGTGGAAGAAAAGCAGATGGAAGGGTGCCACCTTGGATGGGGGGGCCAAGGGGTGAAACAGAGAGGTCAGGAGCCTTAGGACAGCAATGAAAAGCAAAGGCTGCCCTTTCACTGATGTCAAACCTATACAGTACAGGCAGATATTTTCAGTGTATAATTGGAGAAAAACTCTCCGCTTAAGCATCTCAGCCCTTAGTTCTCTACAAATAGCGCAGGTTTTTCCAGTAGCGTCAGTAACATGAGGATTAGACTTTTAAACCCAGTTCAGACTATCTTAGGGTGAGAGCAGAGTGCAGTTACTTGTATTTGTACTGTTTCTCATGTGGATTCCTTGCCAAAAACCAGATCTTTCTGTGTTGATTTGACTGAGTTCTGAAAAGGATATTTTTATCTTATTTAGGTAGGCAAATACTTTGAGATGGCATCATTAAGAAAGAATGTACAGATGTGTGTATGTATTACTTGCAACATAAACAGGAACAAAAATATAGCATGTATGTTTTCACAAAATTACAGGAATGGACCTGGTGGTTTCTCTCAAGGAAAATTATAATAAAAGTGAAAAATATTCATTTCTAATTTAAAAAATGATAAACAGTACTTTATGAAAATTGGATTTGGGAAAATACACGTTTTGAAATATTACAACTCTAAACCAATAAATGATGATAGAATAATGAAATAAAGTTGGTATTCTGCTTCTGTTGAAAGTTAATTTAATTCCCTAGAGAACCGTCATGTTTTCATAATGCGCTCGCAATATTTGGTTGCTCTGTTTAAAGCTGTAATTTGTTTTTAGACGCAAAACAAGAGACGAGTGTGAGAAATTCTTGACTAACAGAACTGGATATTGCCAACTTACTCGTTCCAATAGTGAAGCCTGATCTCAGAATCCTTTGCTCGTGCAGTCACAGAGCTGTGGGCCGGGGCCCCGGGTAGTTTCGGTATGGATGTGTCTGTAGGGCAGCTGTGCTCTGCAGAGTCCTCTGCTGTTGGTGTGCCTGCCCTCCCTGTGTGGAGCCTGCCCAGAGGATGTTTCGGCGCCCGCCAGGCCCACACAGAGGAAAATAATGAGCACCCAGATCTGTACGGTTAACATCAGGGTAGGGCCTCACCAGGCTGGATCAGAACTGGAAGCTGAGAAGCCCTTGCTAACCTCGTTAGGCACAAGAGCTGCAATTACTGCTACCAATTTGTCTGTGCTACGAGATTAATGATTTGTCTCTCTGCATTTGTTTCTGTTCAGCACACACGGTATAATTTCAGTTAGTATTGCAAAAATAGCTCAGCAAGGGGTGTCACCTGTTCTGGCTGCAAGCACAGCCATCTTAGACTACATACGTTTTCTCTTTGGTATTAAAATAAGAAAAAGTACTGCTAAAAGTTGTTCTTCATCAGTTTGTAATCTGTGCCAAGTTGCTCAGACTTTATTTTGTATAATGGAAATGTATAGCTCTTATTAAAAGCTGTTGTTAATACTTCAAAATCAGTATGGGCCATGTAACAGTCAGCGCCATAGGCTAGAAACCGCGGTCAACTGAGGAGGTGCCGGTTTGTTTAAACGTTGACTGTCTAGGACTGAAAAAATCTATCACTCAGAATAAGCTTTTCAGCAGCTTAAGCTAGAAGCTACACTGTTTCTTCTGAAATAGCCTTTTATTTTGAAGCATCCTTTGCATCATCGCTAACAACATTATGTTTTTCCCATGATGCCACTGGCAGGGCCTAAACAGCACTGAGACTACTTTACTCATCCCTGAACATCAAGTGGTAAGCAGTAAGCAATATTCATGCTTCCTTGCATGAATCTGTGTGGCGTCTTCTATTACCATATGCCAAAAAGTCCCTCAACAACAGAAAATTTTCCAGTTTCAAGGAAGCCATCCTTCCAAAAAGATTTTTTTTTTTTTTTTCCTAGCTTATAAAAATGAATGTGGTTTTTTGCCTTTATTCCTAGTGATGCTTTAAATGATAAATTCAAGGAAATTGAAAGGATAACAGGCAAAATTGAAAAGTTAAGATTGGTGAGAAAACTGGAAAGTTTGCTTTTTATTATTGTTTTGGTTTGATGGGCTGTAGGATATATTCTGACTATGGTGTTATTAACAAATGCGGGATTCCTTTTTATCATGATAATCTGGAGGGCTCTGTGAGTCAGCATGATACTTAAAGATTAAGTTTTTTTAAAAAAGTATTTTTAAAAAAAGTTTTGAAGAGCAAGACACACTGACAGAACTTGAAATGTTTTGCCTATTTTTTCTTATTGTGGTAAATAATAATGAAAAGCTCCAAATATCCACTCACTGAAATGTGCAGATGAGATAATTGTATTAATTGTCAAATATATCAGAAAACTTAAAACATCTGTTATCCTTTTATGGAGAAAAAATTACGAAAAATGATTTAAGATAACTGAAGAAGTACATGCTGAGGATATTAAAACTGTCTGCTTGCTTACATTGGGCTCTGGTGTCTTACATTAACACATATGCTCTCTTAGCATACTTTTTATTTTCCTTTGTTCTATTCTTGTTTAATGTGCTCTTTTATCCAGAGAGGCTTTTTCTGCACATTTAAATTTTAGTGCGAATACCTTAGTGTTTTAAACTGCTTTGAAATGCATGTTTTCAAGCTTTAAGATTTTAATGTGGCTCAAAATTGAAACACAATTGTAGTAAGGGGGGGTAAAAGTAGCTTGCAAGTTTTAGCCACAAGAAATATGTGGGGTTTTGTGTTTCTTTGAATGGGAAGGGTTATAGTTTTGTATACAGCTTTGCAGCCTGCATGAAGCATAACTGGAAATTGAAATGTGTGGTGGTAAGAGTGTTGTTAATACACCTCTCTGAAGTGGGTAAGCACTTCGGTTGCGTGGATTCCTTCAAGGAAGAATATCGAAGAGAACTTCATGCCAAGGGGATCTCTGGTATAATGGGAACAGAGTTTGCTGCGCATAAACCAGGAATTTGCTTTTTTGATTTTCAGTAGAGTGCCTGTATATTTGCATATGCTGTGTAAATGCATTTCCAGGAGCTTTTTTTGCTTTTGGAAATAAATTTTATCGAACAGTTACAATTAGCATAGCGGCACTTAAATCATAGTGATTTTCTTATAACTATAAGCATGTTTAATTTGGTGAAAAGGAGGGTATATAAATATTCTGTGCAAACTGGGAATCCAAGTGAGGGTGATAATTTTGGTTTTAAATCATTGAATGTTTCCTACCCTTTCAGTTATGGAGACTTTTCTTGTATTTTGATTCAGCTTTCAAACCCTTATATTTTTGTCCATTTCTGTATTCAGAAGATTTTTCTGCAGTGAATTGTTAATTTATAAATTAACTAATAGCTTTGTAATGATATTTTGGTTTGGTATGCAGTAAATAAAATATTTGGTTTGTAGACTGTATCTTGTAAGCAAGCAAAACGTTTCAAATCAATTTTATTTTGTAATTTTGGGCAGTTTTCTTGTCTGGTAATGTAGGAATAAGATAGTATAATTCCTAGATGTGCTAATGGGGATCATGTTATTAACATAACTGCTCAACATACCTGTTAGTCATAGCCAGAGATTCTTCACTGTGCTATAACTGTAGTGAAACTGGTTTGGGTTCCTCCATCTCACATTAGTGCTAGTTACTGCTTTATTACTGAAATTGCTGCTCTAAACCACCTTCTCACTCTGAGATACAGAAAGAAGGGGAAGGCTGCTGAGGTCTGAACCCGCAGTCCCAGCGCTGTGAGGTTGGACACTCTTGAAACCTTGAAGCCTGGGCAGTTGGATTGGGGCAGGATGTTTCTGATTGTAGGCCCCTAAGAAACCCGCGGTTTTCTGACAATATTAATCTGAAAAGTTTTTCTCTAGGAGAAGTTCCTTTGTCTTTGAAGAATGGACGTGGAGAGGGCTAGGGTATTCAGTAGCAAGGTATATTTGGAGGAAGCTCCATTGCTTACAAGGAGAGAGCGCTGTGCTATGTGGCCTGTAAGGACAGAAATTTCCTGGTTGGTAGATGACTAGAAAGACAAATCCCTGAGTCCTGTGAAAATATGCAGGATTAAATCACTCGGGTATAATCTGCAAAATATATTTGCTTTTCAGGTACTGTGATATTGTTAGACCACCAAGGGCTAGCTGACTGTACTGACCAAGGTCAGCTGTCTGTTCGCTTCGGTGGGCAAGCAAGGCCATGGAAATGTTGCCTGGAGTCTCTGTCTCTCAGCTTCAGTCCAAAATTGTTTCTCTGAAGCCCTTCCTGTTACCGTATACAGTGGTTGATGCCACATCCAGCAGCTCGCTCTCCCTCTCCTCTTTGCGGTGACTGGCCTGTTTGCTTTGGCCCTGGAGAAGCGTCTCTGAGCCACCTGCGGGAGAGCTGTGATGGGTTGGAATGTAGCGTGCGACCACCAGCCACCATTTACACACTTCACCCAAACCAGTTTGGGCAGAAATGAACATGGTGTGTCCTGTGTCTTGAGCTATGCTTCATTTATTTCTACACTGACATCCTGGTCTTTCCTGTAACCTGTCCATTTTGAGTCAGGATTTTCTGTAGCTGGGCTTTAGCTCATGTCTAACGCGAGCATTGCAAGTCCAGGTACTTGGAGGGTTGTTTGGTTGGACGTGGTCTAATAGACTACTGGATGTCTAGACGAAGTTAATGATTATGGGATAACTAGGAATATTAATGCAATGCCATATGAATCCAGTAAGTTTATACTTATGTAGGTACATGAAAAATTCAGCTCTTTATGATAGATCTTTAGAGTGTTCAATTAGCAGATCTGTCTGCAGGCTGTGAAGTCACTTCGTTCTTACAAAGACTATTAAAACTGGAAAGTTACTACAGGAAAACAGGAAGGGAGTGTTTGTTTTTGAACAAGTAGTTTTTGTAAGCTTGCTTGGTAGCTGGTGGATTTATCCAGCTTTTGGAAGCACTGGTAAATGCTAAACACTTGAGTAACACCGTTGCATAGAATGGCATAGGTGACTTGGATTGGAAGGGTCCTCTGGAGGTTTCCTCAACCAACCTCCTACTAAAGGCAAGGCTGATTTCAAACTTGGGTCAGGGCCTTGCTTAGCCAAGCTGTTTGATCTCTTAGGATGGCTGTGAGGCAATCTCTCTGGGCAACCTGTTGTACCTGTTCCTGCTCAACCACACCCTCAATCCAGTAGGAATTTCCCTTGCTGCAACTTGTGGCTGTTGCCTCTTGTGTTTTCACCCAACGCCTCCGGGAAGAGGCTGGCTCCATCTCTTCTGCAATTCCTCATTGGGTATTATTCAATTATTCAAAAGCTTCTGGTTGCTCTCTGTGCTGCATTGGGAAATTGTAATTTGGTTACTTGTATTCCAGAAGGTAGATGTCACAGAATGTCTGCTCTGAGGTGCAACTTCATTTTTTAACTGTAGGTTGTGTAAGATCAATTAATTTCAGTATAGTTCTGGAAAGAGCTGTTAAGAAGTAAGATGTACTAATCTGTAATATTTTATAATTCACTGATGCAACCACTGCAAATTACTAACATTTCATATATTTTAAACCCGTAAGTGCACATTTATGCATGGAATTACATGAATATGCAAGACTGATCCTGTTCTTCTTGTGAAATCCAAATGCAACAAAATGGAAAAGAGTAATTTATGGGTTTAATACGTAGCCCTTACAAGTGGTAAGTATTCCCCTCCTCAGATCCGACGATGACTACTGCATCTTCTTGCATTGATGGTCAGACCTTTAATGACTGAGCAGGATTCTGATACATCATAGAAAATGAGCAAACTTTGATGGCACTAAAGATAAAATATTACTTCAGTTGTATGGAATGATCTAATTATACTTGTGCTACCCAAAGAATTTGGGACACCCCTTTGGCAGGAGGTTTTTTTAAAAGTAAATAATGATTTTTATTTTTTTTTTCTTTGTGTATATGGATTTTGTTAGATCGCTAGGGCCATGTCTGTGCTTAGACAATCTCGTATCTTTTTTTGATGGGTGGTTGGGGCAGTCTGCTTTTAGACTGCATTCCAGTGTTGTAAGTTGTTAGACTGCACTTTGTGGTTTGCTTACTGTAATGCTGAATGACCAGAGTACTGTTGATCCAGTTTAGATATTGGTGTGGTTCTATACGCTATCAAATTAATGTCTAAACAGTTACAGTTTGTTTGTAGTCAGAATTATAAAAAAAAAAAAAGTAACCTGTAAGCGCAAAATAAAACAGGAGAATGCTATTATGTTGTTTTCTTCTCTTGGATGCCATGATTTTTTTGAACATCTTAGTCTTAAATGATTACATACTGCATTTCGAAGCAAAAATGGTTTTGGAGGTAGTTTGTACTGACTTAAATTCTTACAAAGTAGTCTTATGTTAATTGACCTGCTGTAAATATTTCTCAAGAAGAGAAACAACAAAGGGAGACATAGCTTTCCAAAGGTGCGAGTAGCTTCAGGAAATACGGGAATTCTCCAGAATGAACGGATGGTCCAAGTAGGCTACTGTCTGGTTACAGCAGTTACCAGGGTATCTAGCGCAGAGGCATAAAGCTGAATAACACTGTGGAACAATAGGGATTTAAAATTTTTCTAAAAAACTAAATTTGAGCCTGTTTGAAGATAAACACATCTCCTGGGATATGCAGATATTATTGCTTGTAATTTTGTCAACTCTGGAATTACATGGGTGTCATTCGTCTTGTTATGTCCCCGTGGGTTCAGCCTAACAGGAGTGTGGCAGAAATATGCGTTCTCTGTCCATTAGCCAGTGCTTGTTTTGTTGCTTATGCATTACATTCAAAGAAACTTTCTCATTGTTCCTTTTTAAAATCTGCTTAAGTATACAAATGATTGCAATTAGCAATTTAAGAGTCATTATTTTAAAATGCCTGAGTTTATTATCAAAATGAATGCCAGCACAGCTTTGCCTTTATTAAAAAAGACATTATAGCCATACTGTTTGGGGATGCTTGTGTTTTTCTGATAGTTGGAAGCTTTTCCTGTGGTTCTGAAGGATACAGATTTCTCACTAACTAGCTGGGGGGTATGTGCTCAAAGCAGTTGGTTTGGGTTTTGGAGAGGAGCAGTGGGCTTGCTAACTACTTGTTGGTTATTCCAGCAGAGCGGAAGGAGATTTAATCTGTTCCTGAAGCGACGTCTCAGGGTAAAACAGTGATGAATGATACTGCAAGTGGCTTGGATGGCTGCAGTAATAACATGCTTCACTGTGTGATGCCTTTTGTTAACTGGGAGCAAGGTTCACATTTATAAAGTACTCTGAGAAAGCACAGAATATTTTTCACGCGCATCCTTGCATGGCTTAAGAGGGAGAAGACAGAGGCATATCCCTCTGAGTTATGCTTTTTTCTTCCTACTCTTAACAAAATGAAAACACGATTCGTTGTTTGTAAGCACATTTCTGCTGATGGGTGTGGTTAAAAATCCAGTAACAACCTTCCTTAGCATGGAGTTAAATTTAGACCAGATTATTATCTTCTATGGAGATCACTTTGCTGTATGAACCTCTAGTCTTGTAAAGAATTTGGTGAAGCTGAATATTGATAGGATCATAAATAATTTTAGCTAATATTTTGTTAACTTCCCTAGGAGAGTGAGGTAGTGGTCTTCATTTGCTTAATATTAATTACTGTAGTCTAATCAGTGAAAAAGATGAATGTTGTTATTAAAACATTCTAGCTTGCTGATAAATGAAAATATAACCTTTAATAGATCAAATTAGAATACTAATTGCCCTGTTGCATTGATACATTTTATTAGATTTTTGGGTTTTCCCCCACAAAAGTAAATACTAAATTTTGAAACATAACCCCTGTATTGTTTGTGTGCATTTTCATATGTTGTCATTGCTGAGACATTTCTCTGTGGTGGTTGTTTATAGTGAATTTTGTTATGTAGAAAAAAATGCATGGAATTTACTTTTTGCTACCTGCTTCAAGTCGATGAACTGTGCCCTAGCTGGCTTTTGTGTAGAGTGGCGTTCTGACTAACTGCAGAAACAAATCATGCTTGATCATTTAAGACACACTGTAAAGACTGTGAAGAATAAATGGTCATTGTTCACAGGTATTGCTACATTAACATGTATTTATTCTTCATATACTGATTATTTACATGTAGTGTTTGTAGATATAAGCAGTTAATTTAGAAATTATTTTAAGCGGATATAGCCCTTGTTGAATCTTGTGCTAGTGTATCTTCAGCTGTGAAGAAACTGAGGAAGTGATGTGATTTTGGGCAACTTTGTCCTCTGTTATATTTCAAATCAACAGCAATACTTGTGTTTTTTTAATTGTATGCCTGTATCTTCCACAGATTGATAAAAGACATCAAAGCAAAGATTCTATTTTCTTCAGGGATGGTGTCAGGAGAATTGATTTTGTTCTTGCCTATGTGGATGATCTTAATAAGGAATGGGAAAAAAAGTTGGTAAGTTTGTTTTCTTGAGGTTCTCTTTCCTATCATAAACTAAATATTAGTTTCTAGCGTTTCAAATCACTACACTCAGCTGGAGTTGGATTTAGCTAAAAACTGGATAGCTGTGTAGAAAGCCATTCCATATACTGAGAGTTTTTTGTAATTTATTGTTGTGCATTAGGACCCAATTTTATTAGATTTTGGGGGCTTTATTTACTGAATTGATTGCTCTCCATTACTTAGCCTGGTCAATATATTATACAGTCAGTGCCAAGTAATCCAAATGATTTTGCTTTCTTCATTTAACAGTCTTATTGTTAGCTGTGGCTTTGATAAAACTGTATCTGTAAATACTTAAATGAATGAAGTTTCTTTTAAATAAGCAAAGCATTATCCAAATAAGTTGTGATAGTAACTTTTTTTCCCTATCCCCATCTAACTTTAGTTAGAGCAGAAATGGATTCTTAGATGTAAGAATCCATGCAACTTTCCTTTTAAGACTTTATTTTGTTAATACTCTGAGCAAAATAAACACAGAGCTCCTCTTTGAACTCCTCCCTGTGCTTGATGTGCGCTCTATATGCATGTATTCAGTGTTCTAGAAGAGTATTTGAAGTGGCTTCGATAGATCTCCTACATAACAGAGCATGAAGTACAGGCTTTCTCTAAAATGCTGGTCAGCCACCCTCCCTGAACTTTCCCACCCAGACACGGTTGCCAGAACGGTACCAGTAGGTCAGACGGACTCAGTAAATGACATGTATCCTTGCTCATACTGACCCTTGAGGTCTAACTTGACTAATATACGTAAATTCAAGCTATTTAAAAAATCCAGTACTATGAGATGCTGTCAAGATGAACAGTAAGTTCTCTATAAGCATTGTGTTTAAATAATAACAATTGCGGGGATTTAATTTTTTTTTCCTCCCCCTCTTTATTCACTGGCTTTTTTCTGAGCCAGGAGAGGTTGCATTTACAAACTAGTCTTTCCAATATATATTTCCAAAGTTTGTTCTTTAAAGCAAAACAAAACAACAAACCAAAAGACTTCATTCTCATGTAATCACATTATTCTGAAAGATAAGGCTTTCTGAAGAAAATTAATTATACAGAGGCTTATGACAAAATCATGATCAAAACTAAAGGTCTGCAAGGTAAATAATGTTTCTCACCTGTATCTGGTCATATTAAAGTGTTTCATAATGAAAAGTCATAATTGCCTTTGAACAAAAACTGTACAGTTGGGCTGTTCAAAAAACTGCTTAGTGCTTACTTTCCTTTATGAAGGAAATACTGTTTTCAAAGGACTTATGCTTCCTATATGCAAATGTGATCCCGTGTAGAACGCAGCTCCTGCATCATATTCTTGTCACCTCAAAAAAAGCAAGAATCTCTGTCACAATCTTCAGTGCTTTTCCCATCTTAAGCATCTCACAGTCTGCTTTTCTCAGCTGGCCACGTTCAGTATATTTGCTTGGGAGACCAGGGTTATGTTACGGCTAAGCACCATAGGTTTATGTGACGCATAGTTTTTCAAACTCGCCCTGACTCTTTGTCAAACTGCAGTCCTAGCTAGATTCCCCCTTCTACCATAAAGCAAATGACTTTAAAAAAGAAGGAAGAGGAGACCAATCAGTGTAGAGAGAAAAAGATAGCCATGCAAAATATGTGAAAGCAACTCTTAAAATAAACTTTCCCATTAGTCATACTCAAATAACACGAGGGAAGAAATGGAGACTATTTAGGTAATGTTTCAAGTGGGAAGGAAAACGAGCCAGATGCTCACTCTAGTCTCTCATTCATGCTGTGTGCAGAAATTTCCTCCTCATTGGTTTATAGGTCTTTGGAGGGTGCCAGGAACCTGCCAGACCAGAGGCCACGTACACAGGTGTCATAATTGACTGAAGGATTCACAACAGGGAGAACCTAAGAGCTAGCAGCTAACACTGAAGTTCCTCTTTGAGGGGAAAAATGCACTTGGTTAGGAAGAAACATTTCTCTCTTCAAAAGAGTAGAGCATCTGCATCAGATTTTGTGAAGTTTAATTCTGTAGATGTCTTGTTACTTGCAAAAGAGTTTACGGCCCCATGGGAGGAGGTCTTTGCTCTGTGGCCCTGTAGGTTAGCTCTGCAGGTGCAGGGCGGACAGGCGTGAAGGTTTCATTGTTATGGTCTGTGAGTTTTTGCACTATTCTTGGGGAATGCGCGAAGAAAATTAAATTTGCCCTGGTTTTATGTCCAGCATAGACCTTTATACAGTGAATATGCCCATAAATTAATGCAGACTTTTTAGCCTAGAAGTACTGTGCTGTTGTCTTTGTGGGAACAAGATGTAAATAGTGATGAACTGCAGCCTTTGGAATGTCTGACATGACTGTACAAAAGCAAGTACAGTGTCGCAGGAAAGAGATGTGAATTTCTTCTACTGCAGTACAGTGATACAGCAAAATGTAACAGCTAAGAATAGAAATGTTCATGGGAAGAGAATTAACAGTTGTTACAAATGGTTTTGTTGTCTCCAGGAAACAGCTTTTTTCTACATTTCTAAGAAAGGGATGAATAATGAATTTCTTCATGTTTTTCAACATAGTCCTGATACAGATGTAGGAGATGGTCAGCTCATCTCCTTTAGCTTTATGTAGAACAAATGCATTAACTTCTTTGATGTTCCCCATAAACTTTACAGCTTAAACTGTTTTGAACTTGCCTTCTGTGAACGGCATGAATAAATCCTAACTACAAAGTCTCTCTGAACAAAAATTAGGATCACATTTTTATGGGACAATATGTTATTCCTCAAAGCCTCTAGCAGATAAATGGAAATATCTTACCCATATATGAAATGCATGTGAACATGGAAAATAGTCCGATTTTTAAAAGTATCTACTAAATTATTCATGTATGACCAGGATATGATCTTTATAATAGATCATCTTTTAGCATGTGATTGATCCAAAAGGCCATGCTTATTTACCAGCATCCTACACGTGACTGCAGTTAGAATAAGCCCAAGCATCCTGATATAGAAAAGGTTTTTGTAAGCTTGACATACCCTGTCTAAAGGAAGGGGGAAAGCAAGGAAAAGGAGTTTGATGACGGAATAGTATGTTGTGAACTTAAAATTATTTTATTTTCTTGTTAGTGCTAGTAACAACAATAAATTAACAGCATTGTTATCAAGAAGCAGGTTGATAAGTTGTCGATCTTCCTTAGGTCCCTAATCACACAGTGTTACATCTGCATTGGGCATATTAGTACCACTGGACTTTGGATCTTGCTTTGTTAATCTTACTGGGGTGGTTCATTACAGCCAAGCAAATGTTAGATGGTAAAGTTAACCCTGTAGAAGTGTGCAGAGTGCTCGGAGAGGTGAATGCTCTGCTGGCCTCTCCTATATAGGCCACAGTGGGCTCGGAAAATGTGGTTTCAGTCTGTTACAGATGCTTTGGAGAGGCTTAAGGACTGTACTTAAACAAAATGGGAGGAACAGTATTAGCCTGCTATTACTGGTCTTCACTAATGTGATTACTTATGTTGTTTCCCTCTGACTGCAGAGTGGCATCTGTGGCAGAGTCACAAATATCTGCACCAGGTCTAACTTTGCAGGTTTGGGACAGGAAGCTTAAAATTATTACAAATATATATTAAAATAGCACTGGTCCAAGGGTACATTTTGTCCATTTTAAACCTTTGATGGCAACATGAAGAAATCCAGTATTCAGCAAGAAAAGGAGGAGCGTTTTTTTCAGGAGTTTGATTCCCTTTTAAAGGTGGTGAAAGTACAGTACATTCGCATGGCATTCAGAGAAGGTGGCTTAAGAGGTGGTAAAAAGAGCATAATTTCTATTAGAGCACTGCAATTTGTCATGCTAGCTGTGTAGTAAGAAAAGATCAGTAAGGTGGGGCCAGACCCTTTGTCTCTGCCTGTTATTAAGCTGAGGAGCTAGCTGGCTGGGTTGTGTGGTGGCAGACAGCCCTCGGAGCAGACTTGCTTGGCTCTCCTCCAGTGGTTGCTGGGGAAAGAATGCACACCAGCGTGCTTTGTTTGGAGAAAATGTAGTCCAGGATAGCACGTAGCTTTGGGTACCAGGGTTGAATGTTAGATTTATATATAGCACTTTAAAATGTAATCATAAATCACCTTTTAGCTGTATTGTTCTTGATTACGTCACCAGGTCAGCAAAGAAGTTCTTTGGTGTGCTTATACAGGTGCATGTAGGCGGGTTTGTGGGATTCGTTAATGAATAAATAGTGCATGGGATTGCATCTGCCCCCAGCATGGGCTCGGACTCAGGAATTATATTTGCAAATTTATTATGCCAATGTATAATCTAATATCTAATTATATTTGGCAAAATCAGATATGACAGGTAAACGGGCAAGGCCACTAACATAAGAGAATGTATCAGTACACCTTATAGATAGATTTGAGGGCCATTAAAGCTCTTGTTCAGTCTGTATTCATTTATCCAAGTAGTTTATGCAAACAGCTATGCAAAGAGGGCAGCCTGCTCCTCACAGACACGCAGGAAAAGGAAATTGGCTGAGGACTGGGGTGTTTGGGTTTTTTTAAGTTGGTTGGAAAAAGTTATTTAAGACTTTTCAATAGAGAAAACATTACACAGCATTGCAGGTTTTAGCTAGAAATAAATTGGTAGTCTAGCTAGCGTGTTCTAAAGAGGCCTGGGCTCAGTATTTAGCTTAACTTGTAGTTATTCTGGCCATTCTTCAGCAAATCTTATATAACTAAAAGGAAATTAGTTCAGTCTCCCAATAGGAGCAAAAATTCTACATAGAAAGAGGGGAAGAAAATGTTTTTACCTGAAGACACCACCTAAGAATTACTTGGTAAATACAGAGCTCAGGAAGAGTGTCAAACTCCCAGAGGTCGTGCAGCCATCATGCGCTGCCACTGGCAGGTTTTGTTATCTCTCCTCTGTATGAAGTCCGCACTGACTTATGGAATCTTAAACATGATGATTTGTTAGTCTTATCTAGTTTTACAGTTATGTTGTTTGTGAAGCATAGTTTGGATTATCTGTAATCAGTACTTGAACATCTGTATCAGGCTTGATTGCGAAACTGCTAAATAGATGTCCCTGTAAGTGGTCAGTGTTCCAGATGCCTCCAGAATTTTTCTTCTAGTTTTACCATTCTCTTAGCAATATATCTAAACTTGAAACATAACACACCACCCTCCCAAAGAGTCAGAAATGCTCAGGACACCTGACTTAACTCTGATTAACAAAATTGCAGTTTATGAGCCTGTTCCTAACAAATAGATTTCCTGGTGCTAGTCAGTGCAATTCCTGATGCATTGCCTTCACTCCGAAGTGGCCTGGTATGCATCAGCTGGCTTTTGTCTGGTGGTCTGATTGCTTTAACAAAGGTCGCATAGCATCAAGGGGTTGTCATCAGTTAGGAGGAGTGAAGCTCAGTGAAGTCATCAGTAAGTGATTGGTTAGTTGCTACCTTTGTCAGTTAATAAAGTGTGTTTATTTCTCTTCAGGAAAGAAGAAAAGAATTTGAGAGAAATCTGGAAAATGCTGGTTTGAAACTAGAAAGAGAAGACAAGAAGGTAAAAAGAAAAATTAGGACCAAAGCAACAGACCTCCAAATTACAAATTAATATATACCACTTTGTTTCTTTGAGAAAAACGATATTCTAGTGGATTTCAGTGGAGCATGACTAATTTAGGTGAAACAAGCTTAATATGTCTGAGTTGTTTTTACAGATATGTTCATAAAAATTGTGGAAAAAAAGTAATTTCTTGATTCAGGAGGCAGTAATTGCTTTTGATTTCATAACAAAAAGAAAGCAGTTCCAGAATACCTGTGACTTTATTTAAACCCATGTAAAAGGGAAGCATGCTGACAGCTCGATTTAATCCCACCTAACACCTAGTAGCATGTTTGGAATCAGTGAATGGATTAGCGTATACCCGCTGGATCTTGTAATTATGAGAAAGGACTTGAAGATGACTGATCAGTGTCACTGTTTTGTTTAATAACTAGAGAACAGTGCGCCCTTTTTTCTGCTAGAGATTGACTAGAGCAAAATTGCTCTTGAAGTTCAGACTCTGTAACGTGCATAGATGGAGGTTCATTGAACAGCATGTTAAAAATATTTTGATTGCCATTTTCTCCTCTGTATGGAGAGGAACACTGGAGGAACATAAACTGTCGGGTGAGGCCTATGATAAGATTATTCCTTATAGCTGCGAGGCTGTAACAGATCTTGGCTCTGGTTGGTAACTCCTTTTTGCAAGGCATCTTGTACACACTACTCTGCTGTATGGAAACGGCTCCTCGAGGAGAGAGAACAGCTTCACAGCCCGGCACGGTGGCCAGCAGGATGTGTGGGCTGCCAGTGGCCAGCCCTGCGTAGCAAACCCTCCTGTCTCCAACGTGCTCAGAGGGCAATGAGAGTTTTCAGGCCTCAGTGTACATGATTAATGTAGTTTCAAAAGCCTTTGTGAGCTTTTAGTAGTGCGGAGATTATCCTTATGAACAAACAACCACTTGGATAAGCTTGTCAGTTAAAAACCATATAAATGGCCCCCTCTTCCCCCTCCTTTTTTTTTTTTTTTTAAAAAAAGCTTTCACAAATATGTAAAAGGAAATCAATTTTGTATAACAAGTGTTCTCATAAATCTTGCAATAAAATGCAGTTTAGTCTGATGTGTGCTTTAACTTTCCTGGGGCAGGAATCTGAAGATGGCAAGATTTGTTTTGTGAAGATCCATGCCACATGGGATGTTCTGATCACATATGCAGAAGTGCTGAACATTAAAGTTCCTATCAAGGAAAACGACATTCCCTCAACGGTGGAGAACCCTCTGGACTGTATGCTTGCACCTCTCAGGCTTCCCGAGAAGGTGATGCACCCTGAACCAGATTATTTCACGGCACCATTCAGCAGGGACAAGCAGGAGCTGTACCTCATTAATGACGAGAGCACTTTCTTCTCACCGTCCATGAGAAACAGAATAGTACGTATGTGAATTTGACTACCTATATTTACGTGTAGGTTTACATGGTCCCATTGGAATATTCATGCAAGGAAGGACTATATAAACTGTGATATCTGTGGGTAAATACGAGGAAGCCTAGGTGCCTGCTCATCTTCTTTAGAAATCTGGAAGAGTACGTGTTGGCATGGATCTTCTGGATGTCCATGAGGCAAGCATGCCCTCAGTGGTCTCATGCAGGGAGAAGCACTTTTTGCTTTTGTGTGTTGTTCCTGCAGACTGTATGCAGTGCACAACCATTATCAATTTCTCTTAAATGGCCTTAAAATAGCAAAGGTCTGAAATTCTTGTGTTTGATTCTCAGGTTAATTACATTCTTACACGTTGTCCATATGGAACAGAAGAAGGGAAGAAAAAATTTGGGATTAAGAGACTGCTAAATAATGGCACTTACACAGCTGCATATCCTCTTCACGATGTAAGTATTTTAGCTTTCTGCTCCCTTGAGCATTTCCTAGTGTTTTTACTCTTTCACCTGCTGTGACATTTGCCATTTCCAGCAGAAATGAAAATGTACTCAAACCCTTCCATTTGTCCCAGTAATTGATTCTGTTTTATAATACACAAGACATATCTGCCACCCTTACTACTTGTTTTTTATGTCCTGAAATGTTTCTTCCTGTGGATGAGTTGCTAGGGTATACTTATATGTCACTCATATAATTTGTAAGACTTATTCCATAGTATTTTTCTATAATGTTTATGATGCAGGTTATGTGGTAATACACTGGAAAGATTATAACAAGGAATCAACACCTACTGTAGGTGCATGCACTCAGCTGTGTGTGTATAGGGTGTGTACAGGCAGTGCATACTACCTGTAGTTATGTAAATACTCTCGGGATCATACTGGGTTGGGACTCAAGTCAGAGGAGTTGCATGTGCCCTACAGTTCAGTGGGGGGTGGTCACGTGTCCATCTCCAGGTGAGCTTTGGTGAGCTTCTGAATGTTTAATTCGTTGCGTGAATCTTAAATTCTTTCCTTGTTTTCAATAGTTATTTCAGATTTATCACAAAGCTTTAGTGAACTTAAACTGCTTATTTATATCTGTGAGTTCTACCACAACATGTTTTTAAATACTTCATATAGATTCATATTTTGGGATGTTTCAAGTATTTTTGTCCTTCCTTAGAAAACAAAAAGAAATGTATGAATGGGCATTCTTTAGGTTTTCAGGGGGAAAGTTTAGCTGATAAGAGTCTAGGCTGTAGAAGACTAGTCTAGCCTCGGAAGTGCTTTATACTTGGTTTATACTGTTGGGACTACCAAAATCATAGAGAACACAAAGCAGTACAACCAACCTTAAATGCTAAGAAGTCACGTGAAAAAAATGCCAAAAATCATGAGAAGGCTTACAAATCGTTGTCTAAATAAGAACTATTTACCCTTTAAAAATATTTTTAAATGCAAACTTTAGGTTGTTTAAACTTCCTGACTTCTATTTAGAAACCAATTTTTCATGCTGTTCTTTGTGAGAGACATCCAGAATAAAAGGAAAACCAAGATCACAAACTGAATCTTTGACGTAGCCAAATATTTCGTAAAGGCAGAGCTCTACAACACAAAATAAAATTACAAGGGCTGTCACGAACTGCAGTTATTTTGTGCTGTTTAATTCCTAGGAAACTTGATGAAGTTCCAATATTTTCTTAGCATTTGGCAGGTAGTGAGGAACACCACTAAGCTAATTAGTGTCTGGATTTCATTTTGCATGTCCTTGCCTTACACCTTGAGAAGCCACAGCACAGAGTACATCATAGTGCTGTGGCTGGAGGCAGGAAACAAGTTGAATTTATATCACCTAGTTTCCATCTCTCAGTGAAATGCTTTTGGCTGCACAATTTACAATGAGACTGAAATACAAAGGACAGGATTTAAATATGCATCACCTTTACTGAACTTGAGTAAAGTGGTGATTTTTCTACTTTAGGGAAGCTTGAGGTTCTGCAGTTGCGTAATGCTACACCCGTGTAAAGGAACAACCCATTCACTGCAGTAATCTCCCGGTGTGAACAAGTGTGGTACCAACACAAAGCCGGTGTGACCTAATGTGATGGGGTTACAGTGCAGGCAGACAATGTCTAAGATTGACAGATGTTTTCTGTAAATGTGCATTATCTTAAAACTTTACATAAAAGGATTCTACTTCAGTAAAGTGGTGAAGTACAGTGCTAAGTTTGACTTTCAAATTATTTTAATTGGCACCATCTTAAGAGGAATGCATCAACATGAATGTTTGTTTCTTTCAACATAGTATTTGAGTCTGTCGATGAGCTGTTGTGCCTTTACTCTGATTTGCTCACAGTGCCAGTACTGGAAAAAGGCAAACGATCCGAACTGTGAGAATGAGAGATACACGCTCTACATGGAGTGGGCCCGCTTCTTGCGGTTCTACAAAGAACAGCCTTTGGACCTCATCAGGTAAAATCCCAACTGTGTTTTATTATATTTACTTGGTTTTCACTGCAATATGAGTGTGTGTGCATTTGTAGCTTCATCCTGCTGGGAAATTTTTACTACTTCTAAGATCTGATGAGAATCAGGTACTTAATTGGGCACTGGGTCCTTAGAGGACGCAACACAGGTTTTTACTAGAAACTGGAAAAATGTTTTATCTCAAATTAAGCCACTTTGAATCTAGCCAGTGCTCCTGGGGTCAGGTATTTTACAGATAAATCAGCTGTAGAGAAACACATGCGAAGAATAACTTGCATTTTGTAATCAATATCTGCCACAGTTTTTAAAGATTGATTTGAATTTTAAGACAGACTTGAAAAACACTGATAAAATCAGTTTTGAAGCTAGACTCTTAATTCAGTATTAAACCCAAATATAAAATAACCTTATCCAAGATCGATTTGATTCAGTCATACAACAAAAATGGTACTTTATTCACAGGTTACAATTGCCCCCTTTGTAACACAAACAGTTGTATTTCTGTGAATTATCCACTCATTCTAACCATATCATCACAACTGTTGTGCCCAGCTTCATTTGTCTAACTCCTTGGAAAATCAGAAAAGTAAATCTTCATCTACATTGTCCTGTGGAAAGGAGAAAGAGTAATTTTTTTCAAGATGGATCTTCTGTTAAGGAGGAAAAAAAGGGTGAACAGAGGCCATATATTCTGTTCATTCAGCCTGAGTAACTTCTCCCAGCTAGCCTCAAACCTCATTTTTCCAGTGTACATCAACCTATTTACCGTTCCATTAAGGGAGAATTTTGCCAAGTGTTTCATTTTGACTCTGGCCAGTTTGCTCTATTGCAGTTTCAAACTTTGCTTTGTATTCCTATTAATTGCATTTTTTTGTGTTTAGGAAGTACTATGGTGAGAAGATTGGAATCTATTTTGCCTGGCTAGGATTTTACACTGAGATGTTATTCCTTGCAGCAGTTGTTGGCTTAATCTGTTTTCTTTACGGCTTGTTTACAATGGATGAAAATATGAGCAGGTGAGCGTAATGTTGAAAATCTCCTGGGCTTATAATGGGAAAAACTAAGCAATGTGAAAATTTTTGTTCTTGCAGAAAAAAACAGTTAACAAGCTTTTAAAGCTTGTCAGAGCAGATTTGTTCTTCAGCTGTCTTTATTGTCTGAAATAGTGGTGGATGGCTAATGCAGAACTTGTGGCTATTAATTAGAAAGACTCAATTTGTAGGTTAAAAGCAATGCTTTATTGCCATTTGGCAATAGCTTTTTATATTGGAGTACCTGCAATACATGAAGCTCTAAGACTACCGCTGACTTCTCTCAAAATTGTTTCAAGTGTTTCTTGTTGCCGTAAGCTTTTTCTATTTTAATCTATCTCACAGAGTAGTCCGTTGACCTGTTTCTGTAGGTTGTCATTTGTCCTAACCACCAAAAGCATGAGTACAGGACAGATCAGTAGTGCTCTCCTGTCAAAGAGGAATCCATTATGTCAGAAGCCAGTTTGCTTCTTTTTAAACAAACATTGCATTTGTTTCTTCAAGGGTCCCAAGATAACTTGTATTCACGGATTTGGCAGAGGGGTGTGGATGAGTGGGGAGAGGAAAAGAGAGTTGACACTTCGTTGCTCACTGTTTTATATAAGAAGGCTTCCAGAAAATTTTGAGTTTTAACCATAAAGGATGAATAAAATTTTCATCCATTCTATTGAATTATGTATTTTTGAGACTTAGATTTTGTCTAGGTTCAGAATTCACCTGGGAATACTGCTGTAGATGTTGAGATTTCTCTGGATGCTGGACAACTATCACAGAATTGTAAACTACACCCACTGTAGTAATCAAATTCAAGTAGCAAATTTTACTGTAGAAAGCAAAGCTGAATTTTTAGCTGCTTTTAGAAAAGGTGGTTTTAATGCATTACTAACCTGATGAGAAATAACATGGTTCATCTCACCTGTAAGCCATGCATGTGCAGTACAGCTCCTTACAGGCTTTTGACTCATTACTGATAGAGTTGGAAAGCCCCTACCAAGTGAATTGCTAGTTGTCCTCTTTGTAGCAGCTGCTGCATTTCTTGGCTTGCCCTGACCAACCATAGGTTAACACCAGTGAATGTGACAAAACTTGGCATCTTCTCTGTGAAGCTGCAGAGGTCGAGCTTTGAACAAATGAAGCCCTTTATTTTGTTTTTAAAAAATGAATTTCATATAGCACCTCTTGAGAGATGCTATGAAAACAGATGCTGTACAATGTTTTTCTCCTCAGCAAAGAAATCTGTGACCCTGCAATCGGAGGAGAGATCATCATGTGCCCTCTTTGTGACCAAGACTGCGAGTACTGGCGACTAAACACCACCTGTGAGTCCTCACAGGTCCGTATCTGGCTCTCCAGCTGCTTGTCACTTTTGTTCATACTGAAAACTGTTTTGGTATTGACCTGTTCCTGTGTTTTCTGTTGTAGTATTCCCATTTGTTTGACAACGTGGCAACTCTTTTTTTTGCCATTTTCATGGGCATATGGGGTGAGTACACTTGATAAGTTTTATGTCAAGCGATAAGGAGATCTCGTCCAAACTGCTGAGGGACACTGGAAGCGGGAAGAAGAGGAATAATGGCTTCGCTTTAATATTCTGCCTCAGATGCAGAAGTGATGAAAGACTAAAAATAATTTAAAGTTACAGAGGAATTAGGCTTAAAAAAACCCAAACAAAATCCAGCAGATATCGAGGGTATCATAAGCATTGCGTGCTCTTTAGCTGCTAACACTTGTTTCTTTCCTTAGTAACCTAAGACAGAGTAGTCCAACCGTTATGCAGCCCTTGTGAGAGCCCTCTCTGCTAAGCCCTGCAGTGTCCCTCTGAGGGCGTGGAGAGCTTTTGTGCCCTTGCACTGGATGGTGATCCAGCACTACCACTTTATGAGCAGCACTTCTAGGATGAGAATCAGTTGGCTTCTACTCCAGTGAGGTTCTTACATTACAGTATGTTTTGGTGGTGCAAAAATAAGTGGATTTCCTGCCTCTCTAAGCATGGTTTCACACCAAGTGATAACTTGTTCAGACTTTAAGATCATAGTGTCTTGAATACCTGTTCTTTTCTTAAACTCTGTGAATGGGTTTGTAGATGCAGGGTATTGTTTCTTATTTCCTTAAATACTTTGTCTCCTGTTTCATACAGTTTGTATGAAATATCATTATTAAATCTTTGATTTGAATATAGATATTTCATTAACACACAAAGATCTGTGTGTGCTCATAGAAAGATCTATTTGTGTGTTTCTTAAAGAAGGACCTAGCCACTAACTTTTTTCACAAAGAATTCTCAAAAAAAAAAAAAAGAGTAAGATAACTTTGTATGTCAGTTTTACTAATCTTTTCTTGCTTTTAAGCACTAGCATTTGAGTGACATGGATTAGTTGTTCAGGAAGTATCAGCAAAAGATTTTAGAACTGCAGAAGATAAGTTTTCCTGTGTTTGTGTGGACCGTAAAGCCTCTCCAGTTCAAATAAGAACAATCAGATTACTAAAGGTTTACATGCTAAAGTAGTTTATAGAGGGCCTTTAAAATGTAACATAGTATTATAACTTTTATATTTGTTTATTTTAGATATGTTTATTCCCTCTAGTGTCTTAAAAATTTCTTAAGCCAGCCTCACTCTTGATTGTATGAAAAGCATCATTCACTATCTTTAAAATGACCATGATATCCACAAATCATCAAAAAGCAACAGAAATCTTTGAACATACTACTTGAAAACAGTCCTGTTGATTTGCAGTAGTTGTTCTTGTGTAACAGGTTTATCCACAAGCAGTTAGTTGAATTATAATGTTCCTGTGTTAATTCCGTGATGCTATTTGCATATGAAAAGTAGTTAAACTGTAATTGAACGTGGTCATCATAACTATGGAAATAGCCATATCCTGTCTTGGCATCTTCCTTGTCACCAACTTCTGGAGTTCAATTATCTAATAATTACTTAATCCATATTATGGTTTTAGCTGTGAACTTTAATAGACAGTGCAAAAAACCAGATGGGTCACACTGTGAGGATAAAGAATAGACTGCAGAATAGAGCCAGTGCAGAAATAAGTTTAACTTGGTTCGTGAGCTGTTCACTTCTCCCATAACTGAATTTTGACACTTCCAAATTGCAGTTACGCTTTTCTTGGAGTTTTGGAAGAGACGGCAAGCTAGACTGAAATATGAGTGGGATTTGGTTGATTTTGAAGAGGAACAACAACAGCTCCAGCTGAGGCCTGAGTACGAGGCCAAATGTACCCATAAGAAGAAGAATCCTGTAACGCAGGTAATGAGCGTGCTGGGTTGATGTGCATGCAAATTCTGTTGTGTGCTGACAGCTTGATAACGTGAGTTCTGTCTCCGGAGCGTGTCTGTATGTCAGGGCTAGGGAAAGGTTTGTGTGACACACGTAGGCAGTGCTGCGTTTACACTGGAGCAGAGCAGGCCCCACCGAGCAGTCTTTATGACCACAGTGAGTTTGGCTGAAATACGTAGAACCACCACGACGCCCACCACGCCCTCGCTGAACACAGCAAATTGCATCGAATATCAAAGCAGAATTTGGTAACACGTTGTTTTCTGACTGACGGCACCCAGTTGAGTACTGAGGTTTGTGCTCTGTGACTAGTATCAGAGATGCCCGCTAGCTGCCGACAGCAGCACAGCTGTGTTAGCCCCAGTAAATCCCGGGGTGTGTTTCCCTGGGCACGGGGCCGTTGCGGTGTGGCGGTCCTGCTTTCAGCTCTGAAGGTAACAGCAGCTGAGGGCTGTCAGCACAGCGGCCTCCTGCACACGACAGGCATGCCCCAGCTCCTGGACCATGGCTCTCTGCCTGCAGATGCCGTTGTTATCTAGGCTTTAGACACAGAATAATGGAACGTGGGGTTTTTCCCTCTGGAGTGTGTGCATAACTTCAGTTATTTTCTGTTGATTTGAATTTCCACTGGAACTGATAAATCAGGAATACAGAGGCAAAGTTTATAGCTTTCACTTGGCTATCACCATCTTTACAGTGTCCTTCATGTTTCATGGGATGAGTCTGAAATTTTCACACCTTGAAAAGCACTTTCTCATCCCTACACAACATATGAAGAAGCAGTTGTTTTGATCTAAAGATAAATAAGTGGGACTAGCTGTGGTTTTGGTTCTGATACACAACTAGTTTGGGGAACGCTAGAGAGATGAAGGTTGCTGAAGCCCTTTGTCTGAAATCTAATGGAGATACAATTAACCACACTATTTAACTCTCTTAAGTGCTGTGTACAAATACTTATTAGATGGTAATGGTCTCAATTTAAATTTAATTTAGGTAGAAATTATTTGACAAATTTAGGGATTAGATGGTTGCATTCCAATACAACATCTACTACCTCAAATTGACATTTTTAAATTATCCTTCCTCTTACTAGAATTGCATATAAATAACTTGTTTTCACTAGTCATAACTATACTTGGGTAACACAGTCTTCAGAAGAGGAAGAGAAGCTTAGCAGGAACATGGGAAGCATCATTGTTTTATAAAACTGTAGCCCTGTCTTTTAGGGCTTCTATCTTGAATTATGCTGCTTCTATCTTGAATTATGCTGCTGTTCTACCTGTAACTTGTGCACTTGGACTGTACACTATACAAGTTATGCAGAGATCTTCAATAACTGTGTACTGTGATTTTGAGTGTAGCTCTGCTGAGGTATTGATTTCTGCATTCTCAGGAAAATGGTTTCAGGTAAATCAGTTTTTGATTAGCTAGTTCACACAGGCGGTTCGTGGCCCTTGTGTGCTCTGAAGTAACGGGCTGCAGCCGAGGGTAATTGTGTGAGATGGGGAAGCAATGGGCTGACTCCTCAGCAGTGGTTAGGTACAGCACAGACCAAAACCCGCAGTCTGGCGAGGTGAATGAGCCATGGCAGATCCCAGCCAGAGATGGCACGGGTGAGGTGCATTTGTCTCACTGTCCTGAGGGAGAAGATTGTTCTCTAAATTCATGCAGATCTCTTTGGTAGCATGGTTTATTTGGACTTTATTTAGAAAATAGAAATTGGACAGTAATATATTTTTCGTATCTCGAGTGAGGTACTACGCTGCTCTGTGCTTTCTAAGTATGCATTAACAATTACCATGAAAATTCAGTGACTGTACAATATTTTATGACACATCAATTTATTACCTTGGTGAATTTAAAGAAGCTTTTGTGCAGCCGGGTTTAGCAGTGATCCTTATCAAAACCCAGTTATAGCAAATCATACAGGTTAGCCATGCTGCAGTGTAATTTCCTTTCACTAGATAATGTGCAGTACCAAACACATGAAGGGACAGTGCTTTTGAATAAGTGAATTCTGCAGACTGATTAGGTAATATGGATACAGGTCACTGAATTTCTTGTGTCCCAAGGATGGATTTGCTTTGCTCAGAAAATTATTTCCTCATTATTCCTGGCCATGATTCAAAGTTCTAGGTGCACTGAAACAGAAATGGCCCATCTTGAGGCTTTAATTAACACCTCATTTGCTCATGGTGCTAAACTATCTAGCTAGATCATAGCTAAAATCTGGTTTTGCTGATTAAGGTAGAATCTTAATTTACATAAATAATGAAGCATTCCATTCAAACTTAGGCTCTGTCATTGCACATTATCGCTTACATTTTGTTCTAAAGTAGAAAACTTGTCAAATAGCCTAGAATGTGTGAAACATTTGTTCTTAGTATAGAATATATGTAGTATTTATTAATACAAAAGAATTATAGAATTTAATGAGCCTGTGCAAAGTCACCTGATAATCTGTGCTTGTATCTTATCTTCAGCTGGTTTATATAGTTCTGTTAATAGAGCCTTTAACTGTTATAATAAAAAACTTGTTGTGACTTGAGACTACAGTATTGATAATTGCGCTAAGTAAGTATACTTAGTGAGATTCAGGCAGTATATCTCTCCTGAGAGAACACCACATTACACTTCAAACAAAATCACTTTGACGTGAGCGTGCTGACTGACTGAAGAATGTTGCCGTCAAAGAAACAGCGCGTGTGAAACTTCCTGCTGCCTGGTTGTATCGGGGAGAAATGTGCAGCTCAGTTGCAGACATTGTATTCAGCATGATTACACCACATGATGCTGGTCTGTTCCGCGCATACTGGGCTTTTGTGAAACAGAAAATGAATCCCTTCAACAACATTTTACAAGTTCAATATCTTCTGTTTCAAAACAAGCGTTTTCTGGTTCCATGTACTTAGTGATATTGCACATGCATGTGGTAATCTCTGCCCCTGTGTCCAAGTTAGAAGCGTAAGCACGCTACAATGCCTTGTCCCAAAGATTTGTCAAATTCAGATTATCTTTTACTAAATCTTCTCCCACTGGTGTTAGTTCTTAAATGATCCTTTCTTAACACGTGTAATCTGATATTTTAGGAAGTAGAATTGGTTGCGAAAAAGAGAACTTTCCACGAACATGGAACATTGTTCATGTGCTATGTGGGGATACTCTCCTGGGTAAGACCTAGCTGCCTGAGACTGGCAACTAATGAATATAGCCATTTCTTCAATTAAAAAAAAAAAAATAAAAAAATTGAAGGAGTGGAGGAAAATGCTCTCTGGCTGTGTGGAAAAACATGGTACATCCAAATATATGACTGTTTTAAAAAGCTTCGACATGAGGAGTTTCTTAAAATTCAGTCCAGTTTTGGACTCGGAGCTGTATGACAGCTGACCTGTCCTTACAGTAACAGTTCTGTTCGGCTGATGAAGGAGGTGGTCTGTTTCCTGCAGCTACTGATTGATTTTTGGAAAGGTTTAACCATTCTTTCCAAGTACTGTCCTTACTTTTATCATGGTTAATAGCTGCTTCTGTCCTGATTTTGTTACTTTTTTTTTTTTTTTCCCCCCCAGCACATTCAAAATGAAGTCCTGTCTGCCCTTCTAGAGAGGGGGTTTCTGAATGGTTTTCCTCAGATGTGGGCACTTTCACACAGCTGATGAGAGCTCTGTGTGCTGCTTGATGTTAGAATAAGATTTTGGATTTGTGAACTGTGCTGTGCTTGCTTGACTGTTTCAGGAGATGGAGCCTTATTTGCCTATAACTAGCCAGGCTGTGCGGTTCTGCATCTCAGGAACTACAGTGTTGTTCTGGGTGAGCATCTTTTTGAATCATCACTTTAACACATATCAGAGTTGCTGAGCATCACTAATCATGACATTAACATAAACTGGTTTTAATCATGATATTAACACGCTTTTATTATTGTTCTGCAGATTTCTTGCTTTCATGCAAAGTGCGCTTCAATAGAATTTAAAAAAAAAAAAGGGGGGGGGGACACCTTGGAAATCTGTCATTAATTAGTAATTTGATTGGACATGTTAGCATAAGGATAACTTTTTCTCTGGCTTATGTGCTATTAATCGACTATACTGAAAAAATTAGTTGTAAAGGTAAAAAACCCCAAGTATTACTCACTACAGTGAAATATCTACATATTCCTCTGTAGAAATATCTGCAGAGTGAATTTCAGGGTGGACAGTGTAATCTAACTTGACCTTCCATCTCCATTTCTGTGAGTCTGTTTTCTCCTGCACTTTTTTTTTTTT